GACATAAACGAATTGCCAATGCATCAGAAGAAATGCTTGTTGTCCCTTGTGACAGTTTCACACAATGAGATATTTGTAGATGCACTAAAGTGGAGAGGAAGGTCATATTCCATATTCCTGTAATATTCCTGTGAAGTATTTGATGGAAATAAGCTATTTGCCCCTTGGTGTGATTCGATATGACAAATCCTATAACCAATGCCATTCCTGCATAAGCCACCAATAGAATTCCCTAACTATCTTTTATCTTGGCACTTAGGCATCAAGGACAATTACAGAAGAGGACCAAAAGTTGCAAAAGAAATTATATTTACAATTACTAATGCATTAAGAATCCTTACAGGGAACTACAGGCAATTTCCTCCTATTCTACACTATCCAGGTGGAAAAACAAAAGTAATCTCTACAGTCTTGTGCAATCAGCTGAAAAAAGTTCTATCTTTGAAATTGCTTCAGTTCATGGAAAGTATTAAAGGTTCCATGAACACTTTAATGCCTCAGCTTATTACTTCAGAGAGTTACTCATGCTATTTGCAGTCTTCTTCATATCCAACATACAGAAGAAGCCTTTCCCAAGAACTCCAGGTTCAACAAAAAGTGTTAGCCTGCTCTGACCGTACTAAGCTTATCTGAAAGTGGGCTTCTTCATCTGGGGTTGTGATAAAGACATAACACACTAGAGGACTGAACAGAAGAGCTGCTCTTATTACTTTTAATATTTCATTCCAAGCAGCTGTATCTGAAATGAAGCAGACATGTATTTAGCCGATAGATATCACATGATGTATAAACAAGACTCCATGTCCTTTTTTGTAAACACTGCACAGGACAGACTACTTATCAGTAATATCTAGTAAAGTCTATGTGTTCTACTGAGAAATAAAAGTTTGTTATCTCAAAGCCAGGAAACACATATATTAATTATCCTGTGCTCATTAGAACGGCTCAGATTAATTTGCTTCTGAAGTGTTCCTCTTCCCTCTTTAAATTTGCTTGTTATACTCTCACAGAAACAGGCACTGGCTGATAGCAAACTGGAATCTTCAAAAAGCCTGTTTTACATTTCCTTCTTTCTTGTGATTGAATCTACCACTGGGATAACCATTTAATCTACCCATAAAATAGTCTTTTTCTCTTTCTTTGAGATTCTCGGCATGGGATAATCAATTTAAAGACAAATTACCCTTAATAGTTAATAGAACCTTAATGGTTTTCAAATTATGATTTGGGACCACCTGTGGTGTCTTTTCTAATAGTCCACAGGACTGCCAAAATAGTTATCCAAAAGAAACATGGGGAAGTTAGGAAGAATAGGAGATGAAACAATATATGGCCCATGTCTTGTCTCCCTGGAGCAAAAATTTGGCATAGAACTCCAAGACTGAATGGGTTTTTGAACTCAAGTCTCAACTAAAGGTATTAGACATTGGAACCAACTATAGAAAGTCAGGAATCTTAAAAAGGAGCTAAAGTATGGGAGTGAACAAGCGTTGGTTGTACAACCAGTTGGTTTTAGTTCTGCGCAACATTGCTATAATCTTGTTGGAGACAAGCTGTATTTGCCAGGAACATGCTCAAACCACCAATGCCAGGAGAAGGTGCAAAAAAACAATAGTGGTATAAACTCAGTTCAACATGTTATCAATAAATTGAACAACTGTGACAAAAATGTAAGAAGCAGACAAGTATTCACATTTTTACATACAGCAAACTAGCCATCTGACAACAAGCAAGAAGCACTATAAATTCTTATTGGTAAAAAGAATAAGTGTTACTGAAACCCAGTGAGATGATTTCAATGACTGGAACAAGAAAATACTTCTTGCAACTTGTTTACTGAGCATATGATGAAGTTACTAGTGAAGTGGCACTCTACACTGAAGACACCATTATGTTTTTAGAGTTACTGATCATCACTCAGAACCAGAAGACCATGAGTACATGTAGATCACTCTGTTAACTATCAAAGTCCAGAAGGAAGAATTCATGAGGGAATGCTGAAGACTTCTCATTCAAGTGGGATAACAAGAAGAGTTACTCCTTAAGCACCTATCTTTAAATTGTGTTGTTAAAAAGTACCTTAGTTTGGAAGACGTGAGCTGTCTCATGCACGCAGGAATAAAACATCCAAGTCTCTAAGAATTATACACTATAATTTTGCAAAACAAAAGATAATTATACCCAATACAAAGTAACTATCTTGAAATTCATTATGATAAATAATTATGTGTTCACCATCCTGAAAACTGATGGTTGCCTAAAGAGTAGTGATCCTGACCTTGATACTTCCAATAGCAACTAACAGAAATAGTCCCAACTAGCAATACATACACTTGGAGTTTCAAAAGGACTAATTTCTCAAACCTGAGAAAAATTATGGACAAAAGTAACAAGAGAAAAACCATTAGAAAAATGTGACTGAAAATGAGGCACACTGAAGATCCTGTTACTTTTTAGAGTTACTGATAACAGGATCAGAGTATCATAAGTATATCTGGATCACTATGTTAACGATCAAAGTCATGGAAAAGAAATTGTTGTAGACTGCCAAAATAAACTGGAGGAAAAAATGAGCTCCTCTTTCATTTTTAAATTGTGTTGTTAAAAGACTTCGGTCTAATAAATTCTTTAAGAGTTTATTAAATAACCCAAAAGTCATAATTCTACAACCAAAAAAGATGAAAATTGTGGATAAAATTAATCACTTATTCAGTGATGAAGCAACTAGAAATATAGAGCTACTTATAAAAAAAGGAAATATGAGAAACAAGTAGCAATTACTATCAAGCTGTAAAGGTTAGAACATTGGTGTAAGAGGCTAAAACATCAGAGAAAAATCTATAGTTGGCAAGACAAACAATTATTTAAAATATTTTTCAGTGGAACAAAAGAATTACTAGATGGAGGTGGTAAAATTATAGATGATATGTATGTGTCAAATTAATACAGCACAAAAAACCTTTTCAAATATATTTTGCCGAAAGGGAGGCTAACAGATCTCTTCAAATTCCTGTCGTGTTAAAGCAGAACAGGGAAAAGAGTCTGGATCAGCTATCCAGTTTGAATGTCTGGTTCAAAATGTATAACATTTTAAATGTATTACCATCAACAGTAGACAGCTTTCATCAGGGTTTTTGTACAGAATTCTGCCAGAGCAGCTAGCGAGTGGTAAAGTCATGTTAATATTAAATCAGAAATGTAAAGGATTTCATATTAATGGAAAGTAATATTACAATATCTATGGCGTTATTATCTTATTTTGACCACAATCCTGCAAGATGGTGAGGACTCTGGCCTCAATCTGACAAATTAATAAAATTTCATCTGCTTAATGTTATATGGTAAAATGCTTGACAGATTAAGGGCCAGAGTCAGTATTTTGCAGGTTCAAGTTGCTCTATAATACTGCGAAGAAACTTATCCAATATGCCTATGAACAAAATAATAAAACCAAGATCCAGATCATGCAGTTCAAATGCTTGTAAAACTAATGGTACAGACAGATGTAACATTGGAACTCCGGTCCCTAAAGAGTTCCCTAAAGAAGCTAATTCCCTAAAGAAACTAATCTCCTGTACAACATTACCATTAGGCGAAATCTGAGGGCTAATTCTTCCTCAGATGTTCAGGGGTCCCAGAACTTCAGTGGAGAAGTTCACATGCATTCAAAGGCAAGATTTGGTACAAAACAGGTAATCATCACCGGATCTCTTATAGTATTTTACTTTTGCTTATATTGCACAACATGTAATATGTAATACATACTATAATATAAATCAGTTTGTCTGATTCATTAAAATTATTCTTCTCAACTATACTTTATCTAAATTCTACCCAATGCTTTATGACTTGCTAATATTCTACACATCATAATATAGCTGCAGAATAAACAGAAGAAATGAGGGAATAAATGCATATTGATCCTAATCAAGGCCCAGGGGAACATCGAAAGCTCAGAATTTCAGTTCATTTTCAACAAGTTATTGAAGGTTTTATCACTTTTTGGCTTAACAAAACTGACAGAAAACATCACAAGAGCTGAGTTCCCAGACAGAGATATCCAGTAATTCCTCCTGTTCAAGTCAGAAATACCATGAGAAGAGCATTTTCTCGTGTGTTGTATTTATCTGTTGATTTTTATATGATCAAGAAATGCGGGTTTAATGTTGGAATTGTCTCAAAATGAAGTATTTAAGCTCAATTCAATAAACCAAAACTAAATTTGTTTTTATTCCCAGAATGTCAAAATGTTTCTTTTCAATCAAAATGTTAAAATGTTTTCCTATCTCAATGAATTTTTGTTCAGAATTTGTGTTCCAAGCAAACTTTTGATTTTTCAGTTTTCACTGTTTCAGTCTGAAGACAGATACTGAAATGTAAGAATTTGCAAACTTCTCTCAGCTCTAATAATTATAGGCTTCTAAACCTCCATCCATCCAAAAATCTCAAAGCCCCTTGCAAACTGTCTTTTTATGACAATTGCAACAATTCTTCAAAATTGTTACTGCAAGTATTTGAATAATGCTTTTACAGGTAGCCAAAGTGTGACACAGGACACGACTGACTCACTTGAAGTCACACAGCAAGTGCTGAAATGCTTTTCTTTTTTCTTGTGATTTTCAAAAGCCTGTACTTAGAGCTACTAGTTCATGTACATGCATATGTGCAGACAGAAGCAGAGACCCAAGTCTGAAAATTAGGCCTTGTGATCTAATGCTAATATCTCACACTAATAGGCAGCTGGTACTGTGTAGGCAGCAAGAATTAGGACAGGGTCAGGCAGATCATCCTCGCTGGCAAATCAAGAAACCGCAATAAGGGGTTTGAAATTAGTCTCTTGGACCAGAAAGGTAGTAGCCGTAATGGAGCATGTGAAGCACTGGGAAATGCCCCACAAGCCTTAGCATTCTATCAAAGACAGGATTCTGAACATCCACCCTCAGAAAAAAACCCAGAATGGTAGCTTTCTGTCCCATAGTCATCCTTTTTAATGGAATTACCTTTTTCTCCTGAAGGTCCAACTCTTCCTGGCCTCCCTGGAGCACCTTTTTCTCCCTTTTCTCCAGCCTCCCCTATTAATATAAAAGGAAAGAATGAGGAAGAGAGGAAAAACATATTGAGCCACCGCTCCCAGGAAGTGTCTCAGTCTGAACTGCCGAGACTGTAAATCATTCCAACACCTCCATTCTGTTCTTCCATTGGAAAAAAAAAAACATATACATTAAGAAAAAAAAGGCTTTTGACCTTATGTGACACACTTTTTACTTGTTACATGAAAAACACTGTTGTCCACCTGATTTACTTGTGGCAAGTTAAGTTTTGTGAAAGGTTGATTTTGTAGTTTTAGTAATAGGTTAGACAATGGGACGATTTGGATAGGGATGATCCTGCCTCAGGCAGGGGTTTGGACTAAATGATCTCTAGAGGTCCCTTCCAGCCCTGCTTTTCTATGAATCTATTATTATATTATGCAAATAAGGTTGAAGGTTGGGCCCAAGCTTTGTCTATCGGCCCCATCAATCCTACCATGTTTATCTGAATCCAAGATGACTTTGAATTTAAGATGACTCCTCTGTTGCCTGTCCCCCACCCTGGACCCCGTTTTCATCGGCCTCCCTTCCCCTTGCACCCATGTCTGCGCCTACTCCCACATTCCCTGCCTCTACCTCACCCTGCCCCCCTAGCCTGCCCTCCACTTCCTTCTCCCACCTGCAGCCTGCCCCCCTCACATTTTGTTCCCCTCCTTGCTCCCTACTCCTTATCTTCTGCTGCAACTGTGCTCTAGATCAAAGCACTCAGCAGCAGCAGTAGCCCCACCAGGTCTCAGCCCAGCCAGGGAGAAGTGGCAGCAGCTCCCAGATGGACTGGGTCAGGGCTGGAGGGACCAGAGCAGAACAGAAGGTAATGAAGAGGAGGAAGCTGAGTAGGTGGAGGGACTGGCAGCAGGGGCATCATGGGGTGGGGGACAAGCATAGGAATAAGGGGTGGCGGGGCATGCACATTTCAGCAAAACATTTTCACATATGCTTAAATGTAACCATGTTCAGTAAAGAACCTAATAGCATCCTTAAGAACCAAGGAACCAAGGAATTTCTTGGGACTTGAGCATGTTCTGTAATGCTTTACTAAGTGTGTTAAACTGTGCCCACAGGAGGAAAATCTTTAATCCTCATTCTCAGTAATTCAATGGACTTCTGAATTTCTTTAGTTTGAACTACTATCTGTTGTACTGGTATTCATGAATCTCAAAACATAGTTTTCATCCTCATTCATTTAAATGGCAACTTCCATACATGCTGGCTGTCTAGGTTTCTTTAGCTAGTTATATGTGGATGCATGGCACCGCAGCTATTATATTTTGTTCTTTAATATGTAATCTATATATCTGTACCAACTAAATAACTTGGCAGCTTGATGAGGGATTTACAAAGCCACACCTGCAAAACCAAAAACTTCTGTTAAAAAAACACAAATAGGAACAAACAAGAAAACTTTGCAAATGCAAAGTCAACACCTAACACAGACTGCTTCCAGTATCCCAGCTCACTTGGTTAATTCCAGGTCAGATGTCTGTATGCTATAGTGCTTCAGCAGCGATGCATAACTTGAGTTCAACTCTTGCTTCTTTTACCAGCTACCTGTCTGACTGACAGCAAGAGAAGGTACTTCTACATTTCTCCCCACTTTCTAATTTCTTGCCCTTATTTCACAAATTATTTGAGACAAGATCTGCCTCTTACAGTCAAAGAGCTTTGTCACGATGGACACAATTATCATAAAATCATAGAGAAGTAAAGCTGGAAGGGACCTCCATAAGTCATCTAGTCCAACCCCTGAGGGATCATTTTTAGCAGGTGTTAAATCTGTGTGGTATTAGAGTTAGAACATGTTCTAAGCAATCACAAGGTAAATTTTTCTGATTGTCAGTTCTACACCAATTATTGATCCCAGCCACAGCACCACACCGAAATCCTGAACCAGCCCTCATGCAGTGCTAGAGTTGGGACCAGCAATCAGTGGGCTGTGGGCACCCAACTTTCAACTTGACCCTTTAGGAACCCTACAGGCGAAAGACCCAGAATCCGTCCTCCTGCCATGTGTGGCTTTCCTCATCCCACCTGGATACTTTGTACAGTAGAGGGGTCCCTGGCTGATGTCACAGCTAGATGAGGACTACATATTGCTCATATTATTTCCATGGAGCAGCGTGATGATAGCTGAACATGTGTTACTTGTATGATCTGGAGATACTCCTCACCCAAAAAGTCAGAATTTTGCTATGATACAAGCACACTTAGCTTGTGTCTTCCTGCTTGAACATGCAATTGCTTGCACTTTGAATACATACAAAATGTGACATGTAACATGACCCAAAGTCACAGAGTGGACTCATTTGCCAGCCAGTACTGACACACGCAGTAGCTAGGTAATAATGCACACCAAAAGGTGACATCTTTTCTTTTCCCAACCATGTCTGTAAATACAACCATTATGCAAACTGCTGCATGGCACAGGCAAGTGACTTAGATTCACAGATTCATAGATTATAAGGGGCTGGAAGGGATCATGCAAGATTATCGCGCTAGGCAGGAAAGACAACTGGGGTCAGGTGAGCCCAGCGAGGTGACTGTCCAGTCTCCTCTTGAAGATTTCTAGGGTAGGTGATTGCACCACCTCTGGAGGGAGTTTATTCCCTGCCTGCCCAGATCCCAGGCCAATTGTGGTGTGCTGAGCAAAAGAGCCTCATGTGCCATGATCTGGCACATGTGTTGGGGGTTACCAATCCCTGACAAAGCCTATTAATAATGCTTTTTAGCTAGGAGTGGTTTTCAATATCATTGTGCCCTATGTGCAAGAAGAGCTATTAAGCATGTGAGGAAATAGAAGACTATTATAAGTTTATATTTATGTCATACCAACTGTTTTTGTGTATTATATAGCATTGGTGTATTATATATCATTATATATATTTTTGTGTATTATGTATCATTAAGACTATTCAGAGAGGCAAGGATTTTTTAGGGTGGTATCTTTTATTGAACCAACTGCATAGTTGAGATAGAGTTAGACAAGCTTTCAAATGCAAGACTGGTCCCTCCTTGGTCTGGGGGGTCCCCCCGTGGCTGATCGCCGAGCAGCGGGGTCACGGAGCTGGGGAGTCCCTGCCTTCTCGGCGATGGACCCAGAAGTGGACCAGAAGTACCTCCGGTCCATTTCCAGGTTTGCCGCCAAGCATGTGAGGGTTCACGAGCCACACCTGGTACCTCGAAGTATGTAGAAAAAACATTTAAATCTGTGTTTATGACTGAATCGCTGATTCTCCAAATCAGCATTGAATCTTCAGATTCAGATTCAGCCGAATCAAATGGGGACAGTGATCCAAATCAACAAATCAAATCACTGTCCCTAATTCAGGCCAAATCCAAATCAAATGCAGCCTGTTTCGCACATGCCTATCACTTAATCGCCTCTGTCCTAACAGCACCTTTCAAAGGCAACATCACCCTGATTGAGAATGTCTGTCCAAGGACATCCCCATTCTCTCACTTCTTTGCCTGACTTTCCCTGGGACTCTATCTCCCAGAGATTCCTTTGTTCCCCATAAACTTCATCCCCAGTGTTTCCCCACTCCTAATCTCCTCTACATAAATTTCCAGTAAGAAACAGGAAGAAGAGGTTACTAGACCCCAGAGGGCTGTGCTGGGCTCTACTATGTAAGGCTTTACTTTGCTCCACCATGGCCAGAAACTTCACTGGCAGTTCAGCAAAGGAGGACCTATGGCAAATCTAAAAGCTGCTTGTGTGAAGCACAGCTCCACATGGGAGCTGAGTTTTGGGCATACGGCCACACATATGCTCAGTTTAGAGCAAAACTTGGATGTTACTGACATGGGCTGGATTTGTGCCAAGAGATGACAGGCTCTGTAGCTCATTACCAATCCTCTGAGCCAGCCATTCCCCCTGACAGTTCAGCTTAAGCACTGATGGCTTTTGAGAGATTTTATATTACTATGGCCTTAGCTAGCCATTTTGTGTTTTGCTAAATCTGTACATCAATCTCCCTCGCCACCATGATGACTACTTTTAATTAAGAGAAGTGAAAGCGCTAACACATTCTGGTTTTCAGGCTCTCATTGTTTTGTGGCTCTATACTCCAGATTGCCCTATAGCAAAAGGAGACAGGTTTATTATTGGGTCTCATTATACAACAAAAGTTCTACCTGGAAACAACAGTAATGGGTAATGTTATATTTGACAGATTACCTACGTGGGGAAAATGCTACAAAAAGGTTAAGGAATATGAATAGTGCCACAGCTGGGAGCCAACATCAGAGCTAAAAGTTTTTGGCCCTCAGTCCTGTGGTCCAGCAATCTATTATTCTAGGCAATGCAATATTTAATTTAATAGTAATGATGTGTGTGTGGTACTGATGTTAAAGATGGCCAAAAAGGGGAAATATTAAATAATTCAAGGCTCAGGCAGGCAATCCACACATTACCTGAATGCATTAAATGAACATTTCTCTCCTTTTTCACTTCACATCCTCCATTTTTAGATGTGTGATTAAGATTTCAGAGAAAAAGAATATTTTGCCTTTTCAGTTCAGCAGTTGAACTGAAGTCAGGAGCTGAAAGTTCATCAGGTGAAGAACTACTCAAGTCTGCAGTAAAATTAAAGGTTTTCATTACTGGACTTAATGCTGGGCACAGCCATCTTGCCAGTGAATGATATTTAAAACTCAAGCACATGCAGCCACCAGAAAAAAATGCACAGTTGTTAAATACAAGTAAGTGTTATGATTGCTTAGGAATTGGTGGTTTGTTAATTGTTCCTTGTCCTTGGCTTTTGCCATATGTAGTTCTTTGTAATGGCACAGGTGTATGTATATCAGGCAAAATCATGACCCTGCTGGAGTCAATGTACATTTTCCTATTAATTCCAATGGGGATAGAATTCCACCCCTCCAATATTTGTCATGAAATATATAACCTTTGAGAAGGATAGAGACTATTTCTTCAGAACATTAATTTCTTTCAAATGTGGATGTAGAAGTGTATTCTTTTGCAGGATTACATGAGTATTTTTGGCATGCCATCTTTGTTAGACAATACGGAAATGTCTAAAGAAAAAATAGTGAGCATATTATTTGTATAATTCATACAGCTAAATTTTGAGAAGCATGGAGCAACTATTTCAATGGGAACTGTAAGTGCTCAGTGTTTCTCAGAGTTCAGCCCCCCAAAATGTGTACAGCAGACCAGAAAATGCAGACAACTTCCAAGTAATCCATTTGAGAGAGACAAAGAAGGCCTATAAAATGGTTTTAAAACAGACACGACATATAACCTATTTGCAATCTTCATTTATGCCAAGCATTACTCATGAATATAAACGCTCAAAATCAACCAGCCCACTCATCTGAGTAACAACTACTTTATAGCAGTAGGCCTACAACTTGTCAGCTATGATACTGTAATGGTTACAAACTGTGTTTAACCATAACTATGTTTAGAAGGCAGTTGTACATTGTACCAAGGTCTTATTCTCTGTTGAAACTGGCCAGAATTTGCTGGTAAGAAAGAGAAGGCAACCACGTAGGCAGAGGAAAAGACTTGACACTTTACCTTTGAGGCCTGGAACAAGAATCTGAACAGAGCAGGACTCTTCTGCAATGTGTTGAGGATATCCAGATCTTAGCAGTGACAGGAAGGCAAAGCTAATTAGAGTCGCCAAGAAAACCAGATCTCTCTTCATAATGAGCTCTTACAGGTCACTGACTCCTAAACAAAAGAATGAATAAACATCATAAGAATTCCAGAGGCCTTCAACAGTTTCTGAGGGTATACAGTATGATACCATAAGAGCAATACATTTATACATATCATACCCTTAGCAGCATGAAAAAATGTACAGGTTGTATACCCAATTCAATAGTATATACATTGCACAGTACAATAGGCTGTTCTAGATTTGTTGAGATAAAATTCAGAAAGCAAGTCAGGGAAAATGGAAGAGACTAAAAAATATTTAACAAGACTATTGATAAGGAAAACAGAAAATAAGTTTCACCACTCTGTGAATGCCTTTAGAATAGTTTAGAAAACCTACTTATCATGAAGTTTGAAGGAGGAAATGCAGTACAAGGAAAGATGCAAATATCTAAGTTGACCTCCCAGGATAGGAGAATGCATACCACTCTAAAGACTCAGTTGAGAAGATGAGAACTGCTTAAATAGCCCTGAATTTTACCTTTTGCAGATCCGCTAACTGCAACTGGTATCTGTACAGGGCTTGATGGAGGAGTCCTTATCCAAAATAGCCTTGAAAGACACTTGCACCAGGTAGTGAAGACACACCAGAGTCCTTAGCAAATCCTGGTGAGCTCTGCCTGAATAGATGAATAACATCTTTGGAAAAAGACTTGGCTCATAGAACCTCATGTCCTGGTAAACCTGTCAGTGAAAGGGCGTTTTATTTATTACGTTGTAGGGAAAACAACTCCAAAACAGAGTTGGGCCAAGTAGGCCACCAAAACCTGATCTACAGGAGGTCTGCAAAAATCTTTTTGAGGTAAGAAAAACATTCTGCAAACCTCCTTCTCTTTCTTTCACCAATACTCTTCATTAGGAGGACTTAAAAAAAGGGAGAGAGAGCGAGCCAGGTCAGAGCTGCAAGAGATGGAGAAGATATCTGTCACAAACAATAGTGTAACTAGGGGTGGGCAAGCAGAGCACCAGTGTCAGACACTGACTTAGAGGAGACACAAGATTGCTAGTCGTTGCCACTGCCAACCTGTCTGCCACCACTGTCCAGGGTACAAAAAACACTCATTACACCTCTGGTCACCAGCATATGTTCTTCTGTGTAGCAAATGCACAGACACATGAAGGTTTATGTCTCAAGTGAGCAGATTCATATGGTACCATGTGGCTAGCTCAAAAGATTGGTAATTGAACGCGACACCTTTCATCCCCTGCCATTTATGCTACCCTGAGCCAAGTCTGGTACTAATTGAAAATCCACATTGTCTGACTGCTATCCTCAATAGCCTAGAGGAAATGAGCAGGTGGCCTCAATCCAGTTACAGATGTAATCTGTGTCATAAATCCCAGCATCTGAACTGGCATGTTTGCCAGAGATTTCAGCAGCTAGGATAAATACTGAACAAGCATGGAGTCATGATTATCCTCACAACATGAACAGTCAGACTGTCAAATCAGCTACACTTCTAGAAGAGTAAGGGGGCATACTCCAGACCAAAGGTCATTGTATCCTAGGAGAGGAGGACAGCTGGCAGCAGTCCCCTATTCCTCTGCCCAAGGCTGGGTGGCAGGGGGAGGAGTGATCAGGGAGCTGGAGACTGGAGGTGGGAAGCAAGCTGAGTTCTTCTCTGAAACTCATTGAATAGAAAACTGAGCTGGTTTGGGAGGTGAGAAGGAATGAAAACTGCTTAAGGAAAATTGCTGGCATAGCTTAGTCCCCTGATGGAGCAAGGAGAACCAGGGTCTGAATCTGGATTCTTGGAGTTCTTGGAGCTGCAGTGTGGTCCCTGGGATAACACAGCTATGTACTGCCCCTTATTTGGGGGCCCAGAAACATCTTGATGTATGTGGCTAGAAGAGCTTCTTCCAAGGCTGCCTGGGCTGTACTCATACAGAAAGGCTTGCACTCCTGTAGCTACTAGCCAGACTCCTTCCCTGAAGTCAACTATATGTATAAAAATACAATAATATATAAGCCTAAAATAGTGGGATGTCCTTACTCCCTGCCTTAAGTAGAGCAGATTATAATGTAAACACTTTGACTAAGGACTATAGCCCTCATAGTAAACACCAAGGTATTAATAAGTGTCTCTTTTAACAGACTGCAAAATGGTAAACAATATTTACAAAAATCTCTATCTTCCCACTCACAGGGTAACCAAGGCTGCAGTGGAATTAGCCTTAATCATATGTGGGCAACACTCACACACACAAAAAGCTGAACTGAACAAATGTTTTAAACAACGGACAAGACCTGCTTGCCATTGGAAAGCTGTAACTAACTATAGTGCAGTAATTCCTGTGAACAGTTTGCATACACATAGACAAACTAACTAGCTTGAGTGCTGCCAGCAGCATAGTCATAACAGCACAGAGCTCTGCATGGGCTGGCTACTTCACTGTTTAGCCAGCTTCTTGGGCAGGTTTTGCAGTCCACAGTGAACTTCATACTGCTGTGGCTACGCTGCCTGAACAGGTGAAGGAGCTGCACTGACTGGCTGCAGGGAGTGTTATGGAAACTGGGGTTAGAAGGAAACCAAACAATAAAACCAGAGAAGCAAGCAAGACAACTTCAGAACTTCTGTGAAAAAGAAGAAAACTTATTGTGGCCACTGAGAACAGTTTTATTTAGTCTTTAAATAAGAGACCATTAGAAAACCACAGAGTTGAGAGCATCATGAGTAGAGCTGCCATCAAGAGCACCCAAGGCTCATATTACAGCATGACATCAAAATCTAAATTTCATCAAACATGGTCAGTCTTCCTGGTTGTGAGCAGAAAGCTTAGAAACTTGAGCTGCTTATAACTGAGACAGTGATGTATGTCCAACTTCATAGACAGCCTAAAGCAACACACACGAACTGTTTTCAACCATTTAAGATGGGTTATAACTCTAGCATCTGTTCTCTGAGTAAACTTCCCAGCAAAAGAATCATCAGGTGCAGAGGAAGGTCCATCATAGCATCAACAGAGGCCTCATATACAAAGCTCCTGATTCTTGATAGTTGGTTCTCCCTTCCTCAAAAATGTACACAATGAAAAAGGGTTGTGGTCCAAACTAAGGGAGGTGTTATCCAGCCAGAAGAGAAGTAGCAGCACCTATCTCCTTGAAACTTGGCAGGCTTTGTGGCTTCAGTTGGAGCTAGCATGCCTGCAGTTTTGACCCTGCTGTGGCTTAACACATACACTTGACATGAGTTTTGCTTTCAGGATTTTGGGGTGCAGTTTCTCCAAATCCCATGCACCTATCTCCTTGAAACTTGGCAGGCTTTGTGGCCTCAGCAGTGGCTAGCAACCCTGTAGTTTTGACCTTGCTGTGGCTTAACACATACACACGACACAAGTTTGGCTCTCAAGAATTTGGGGTGTAGCTTCTTTGAACTCCATGCACCTATCTTCTTGAAACTGGGCAATTTTATGCCCTCAGAAGGGGCTACTATTTCTGCAAGTTTTATCCAAATCTGGCCAGAAATGACAAATTTATAGGCTGTTTTGACCTTCCCCATTATAGCCTATGGGCGAAACGTCGAAACAACATAGAAACAGCAAAATGTTTCGACTTGCCTCGTTTCGTTTTGAGGCTGTTTCAACCATATCTGTTTCAATTTTGCTGTTTTGACCTCGAAACAGGTTGAAACAGTGTCGAAACAAAACTGGTGGTGAAATTTCGCACAGCCCTAGTGATCGTATAACTCAGTTTCACCGGGACAGTCCTGGATTTCATAGGCTGTCCCGGCATTCCAGCCGATAGGTGAAAATTCAAACAACTGTCCTGGATTGGTGCCACCCCACCCACATGCTCCTGGCCTGGCTCCCCGCAAACATGGGCTGCTTACACATGTGTGCCTCCTGTGTGTGAGCCTGCGTGGCACCCCCAACCACAGCGCCATGGGCAGTCACCCATATCACCCACCCCTAAGTCTGGCTCTGACTGACTCTACCGTGCATGAGACAAATTTGCAGCCCAGTGGAACCAGGACCAGGAGCCACTGTCGCCACCACCATGTGGAGCCCAGGTGAGGAAGGGGCTTTCCACAGGCCATGGGGGCAGGGTGTCTCAGACCCCAGCACTGAGGGGAGCAGGGGTCCCCTCCCCCCTCACCCACCCAGCTGCCAGGGACCTGTGTTGGGGCGGGGTGGCTCTGGGCTCTTCCTTAGGACTCCCAGCAGAGATGGGACCAGAGAGCAGCTGCCGCTGCTACCACCACATGGAACCCAGGTGAGGGGGTTGGGGCAAGATGGCTTGGACCCCTGCCCTGCCCTGCCCTGGGACTGCAGCCCCAGCTGGCTTGCAGCCCAATGGAGTCAGGACCAGGGAGCCACACAGAGCCCTGGCAAGGATGGGGGCTTCCCTGGGAAGGGTAACTTGGACAGGGCAGGGTAACTTGGACTCATGCCCTGCCCTGGGACTGCGACCCTGCCAGCTGACAGTCCAGTGGAGATGGGACCAGAGACCTGCACAGTCCCTCCCCCTGTCCTGGCTGCTGGGGACCTGTGTGTGGGAGGGCATAGCTCCAGGATCTGCCCTGGGACTGCGGCCCTGGCCGGCTCCATCCTGCCTGCACTAACTGCCTCCTCTCCTGCTCTGTGCCTGCATGGCTGGAATAGGCATGGTACCCGGGCACCATCATTGCGGTCCCCTCCAGTGGTGGGGTCACACTAGGGAACACAGAGGTGCTCTTGTTTTCTGTGGGGCTATCCCCCCACCTCACCACTCTTCTAAACTTAACATGGAGGCTGGAAGAGGTGCTGCACTGTTGAGATTGTAGGAGGGGCAGGGGCAGGGGCAAAGGAAGGGGCAGTGCAGGGCTGCTCCTGCTTTGCTTGCAGCAGTGCTGCTGACTTGGGGGAGGAGGGGGAAAACAGTGTCCTGGATTTTCCATAGTCCCATATAGTGACCCTACCCAAAAAACTAACTGATTGAAAGTCACTAGGTACTCCCTACAGGTATACTTAACTGTGGCTTAGAAAAGCTATTTCCTCCAGCAGCATAGCTGTGGGCAGGCAACTGAGGCATG